ACAGAATCAGGGGCACCTGGGTGGCTCGGTTAAGTGTCTGACTCTTGGTTTCGGCTCAGGTCATGATCTTGGGTTGTGAGATTGAGCCTTGCGTAAGGCTCCCTGCTCAGTGCAGAGTCTGCTTCAGATTCTTTCCCGCTCTCTCTTCCTTCCCCTCTGCTCCTTGTGCTCTTTCTCTCTTTCTAAAATAAAATCTTATAAAATAAAATACAGAATCAGCTATGGTATGCAGGCACTTTAAACAGGCACAAACGTTCAACAAAGGTTTTCCAAGTCCTGTATTCCTGACTCTTTAAGATTATTCCAGTGAGCAAAATTACTGTCAGGCTGCTAGGGTTTTGTTGTTGTTTTTTGTAATGTGTTCAAGCCTTACTGCAATCTGAATGTCAGTAGAGTTGTCATGTCCATGTACATTTCTCCATAAATGTGCTAGAACCTGTGTCTCTCTGTTTCTCTAATGGCCAAAAGTGAACTCTGGAGTCAGACTGCTAGGTGTCATCCCAGCCACATACTAGGGACATGGGATAAGTTACTAAGCTGCTCTGCAGCACATTTCCCCGTCAGTGCAATGGGCACAGTGATGGCGCCAGCCCGTGGGTTTAGCATGCATTTAAATAAAGACAAATCCAGGGGTTCCTGGGTGGCTCAGTTGGTTAAACGTCTGCTTTTGGCTCAGGTCATGATCCCAGAGTCCCGGGATCGAGTCCCGCCTCAGCCTCCTTGCTCAGCAGGCAGCCTACTTCTCCCTCTGCTGTTCTCCCTGCTTTGTGCGTGCTCTCTCTCTCTCTCTGACAAATAAATAAAATCTTAAAAAAAAAAAATAAAGGCAACTCCATAAAATGCTTGCACAGCGCTGGCAAATCCAAATGCTCAACAGGCGATTAATAAGACCATTTCATATTGTGCAGACGGCGCAGCCACGTATGTACCCTGCGTGTTGTTCACGCGCCCTGCTGCCAGTCTCAAGTGCTAGTAAGCACCTTGTGAAGACGGGGCATTGGAAATGTGGAAAGGGAACAATTTGCAGAGTTTTGAAAGCCTGAGCGGAGCCTTCTAACTTAAAATATTCTGTTTCATTGTATCCCGCCGGGCCAGAGTCACCTGTGGAGTGCCAGAACTTGACCCTTCATTTTGGGGAGGCCACTGAGACACAGAATTCAGGTTTTACGCGAGGTTATTGGACAAGGGGTGGTTGGGACTTACCCTGATTCCAAGAGCAGTGGCTTTAGAAACGTACTCCAGGGGATTTGCTAGGTCAGGTGTAGCTTTTCAACCTGCTGGGCTATTCTGTTTCAAGTTGTACATGTGACAGCACATATTGCCTGTGTGGTTTGGGGACATTTACGTTTTCCAAATAGAAAAGATAAACATTTTCCATCCTACCCAAATAGCTAATTTATTAAACAGTCACTGAGCACTTGTAAGGGAACAGAAGCTCAAACAGCATGTAGCACTTGCTGTAAACCATCCAGCCAACCCAGTGAATATTTATGCAGCCCTACCATTTATCGAGGGTCCTGCAGATGACACAGGACTGAGGGAGATGGGGGACTATGTTAGTACAAGCCTGAGTCAGGTTGGTGGCGGGACAGACTCACACCAGGGGACATGCTAGGGAGATGCTGACGTGGTGCCTTGTAGAACCAGGACATGTCTGCAGGGGCTCTTTGCTGAGCTTCCAGGTTACCTGGGAGTGAGGCAGGGCCCTGCCCTAGGGGAGTTCTGGCTGCCTGAAGTAGTGGTGAGGACCAAAGTCAGGTCGGGGGGGGGGGCTTCCCACAGTCAATGGGAAGGTGGTGTTTGCTTACAGAAGAGGGAGAAGCTGTGTCTTTATGTGTTCATTCTGCACACATTTCTGAAGATTAATTTACATAACTGGTCCTGTACTCATTACTGGGGATATAGGGACAAGACACTCACAGTGAGCCTGGGTGGCACAGTCAGTTAAGCATCTAACTTTTGGTTTCAGCTCAGGTCGTGATCCTCAGGGTTGTGGGGCTGAGCCCTGCATCAGGCTCTGTGCTCAGCTCAGAGTCCGCTTGAGTTTCTCTCTCTCCCTCTGCCCCTCCCCGCTGCGTTCTGTCTCTTTGAAGTAAATAAATAAAAATCTTTAAAAAATAAAAAAAGATACTCCCTTAAGGAGTGCAGGAATGCAGGACAGAAAAATCTATAGGATCTTTTCGGAAGAAGAGTTAGAGAAAGAAGGGAAGGCCGTCCTGGCCAGGAAGAGGGGATAGCTATGGGAAAGAATATCCCAGGGCCCTGGGCGGCTCCCCCTTGGGTGGCGAAGGACATTTGTAGGGACGTTTGCAAGCCATGACAAACAACAAAGTCTTCCCACAGCCCTTGATGGTTACAGTGTTTGCCTGAATCCTGTCTGCACTGAGGTGTCTCATGCTGATCACAGGGCTTCTGAGTTCTGGAGGGCTCAGGGGGTGTCTTCTCACGCCATCCTTGGTTTTGCTGTGCATCGAGCAGCGTCTGCCCCCCCGCAGACGAGTGCACACTAGCCGTGGGCAGTGGCTTCCTGTGGTCCCCCACATCAGTGCGGAGCGGCTCTGCATGTGTCACAGGCCCTCCTGATGGGCCCCTAAACTGCAGTCGGACCTCCTGTTCTGCTGCTTCCTCTCCTGCCAAGCAGATTTTTTTCAGTATTCAGTGAGCTCAGGCTGCCTTTGCTCATGAATTTTCTCTTGCCACTCGGTGAGTTAGCGAATGAGTCTCTGGGCTTATTTGTTCACTTGTCCATTTAACAACTGTTATGAAGTCCCACTTGAGCACATGGCGCCAATTGCCACCAAGGCCCCAGGGACTACCTTTACCGTGAAGCAGAGGGAGAGTGCTGAATGCAGACTTTCACATGCCCACAAGGTCTCCTCTTCCTAACACCCTCCCCAAGGTTGGTGCTCAGCCAGTTCCCTGAGCTTGCAGGATCTCGATTCTGTTGTTACCCCGATGGTGATCCTCAAAGAATCATACCTGCCTGGATTCATCTTTTCTCCTGGTGGCCCTGTGGGGAGAACCTGGCCCTTGCCTCACTTTTAAATGTGCCATATGGCATGTTTAATATTAAAACACGTCAGGGAACGGAGAAGCTGAAGGATACACTGAACCCTTGGCCCTTGCCTGTGGATTCAAATAATTTGAAAAAAACAAACAAACTTTTATTCAAAAGTAGAATGACAGGTAGTGAAATATTCATTGCATTCGCAACCTTGCCTTAAAAGCACACAGAGTTTATCTAAGTGTGTGGCTTTATAGGAATCTGTGCTTTTGTTGCAAAAGAGCAGTTCAGAAGGGAAAAAGAAGTAACAGGAACTGATCTGTAGATTTCAAAGATGTCAAATTGTTGAGAAAAAGTAATATAGTTATTAAAATTATAACAACCACTTTCAGTTTTAAACATTTAAAAATGATTAAATCTGTTAGATTTGCTGGCAAATCACCAAATTGGATGTTTCATTGTACCTGGGACACAATGTCTGATTGCTTTGGAGAGTCAAATCATTTGTTGAATGAATACATAGTTTCTCATTGCAAAATAACTGCATGTTATTATTCCAGTTTGTTGGGAGAACATGTGGGAAGGGGACATGGCCTTGGAACTGCCACTTATGAGTCTCTACCACCAGGCTCCTCTGAGCCTCCAGGTCCTGATTTGTTACATAGGTTAATAGTAACAGTTGTGAAGTGTTTAAAAAAAAAAAAAAGGCATTTTGTGTAAGACTAGGAATTACTAGACACTTTGCATCAGGAACTGTGAGAAACACTTCCACTCTCCCCAAGCTTGTAAACTCACCCACGCAGGAGACAGACAGCATGCTGCCCGGCCATTGAAGGTCCACAGAGATTCAGGTTCTGAAAGCTCCCAGTTCAACCCCTCATCAAACGTGTCCTGCTGTCCTGGTTGACTCACAACCACAGAGATGTGCAAGTTTCCATGGGTAATAACAACTTGATGAAAAAGTAAGTACTGTTTCTTTACATGGAGCAGAAGGGGAAAAAATGGTATATTGTAACATGATAGAAAACAAAGTGTCAAATTCAATCCCACACTCCATCTGATGAGGTAGAAAACAGAATCTCTTTGTAGCTCTTTGTAGCTCCCTGGGATCTGACAGTTTTATGTTCTTTAGCTAATTATCGAAACAGAGCATAGATTTATATAACACATTACCTAAATAAGGTACTTTTAAGTGCAAGCTCTTCACGGTTTATCTTACAGATGATTTCCACATTAAGGGATTTTCAACTTCCGACTTCATACGTTTTCTCAAAGAGGGGTAATACCAGTTTCCGACAGTTCCTATGTGGAAGGGTGCTTGTCAGTGCAGATGAGACACTACTTGAGAAAGGTTTTTGAACTGAGATGGCCTGGGCCCCCGATAACCGGGGCGGGGCAAGTGCTGTGTGGGTCCAGCAGCCACGTCTACCTTCCTCACGGAGCCTGGCGTCACGTCTTGAAGTAAATCCTTCACCATGATAAGCAGCCTGGGGTCCACTGCAATCCTCGGGTTGCCCTTGTCCCTCTAGCGTCGAGATGAAGGCTCAGATAAAAGTCATGCCCAGAAGCCCCCCTGCCCCATTTTGGTTCCTAATTGGCCCAGTTCAAAGGAAACCCTTTCCAACAACTGTTGCATGGACTTCCAGGGAAAAGAAGTAAAGCCGAAGGGTATAACCTAAAAGGAGAAAAACAATCTCCAAAATAGCAAGAGGGAGCAGAGTGCTCCCCTCTGGGAGGTGCGTTGCATCCGGCCATCTAGCGTGCTGAAGACCCCAGAGCCAGGAGTGCTTGGTTCATGTCGGTGCACTGAGCCTGTGGGGAAGGGGAGGCTGGGCGAGGAGATGTTAGCTCCCCCCTCAAGGTCTGAAGGCATAGGTGGCATTGCCTGAGCCAGCTCGTTCTCCCGACCTCTGATTTTATGGCCAGGCCTATGGACGTCAGGGGCATTGCTGTCCCTTCAAGGGTAGAGATAAGAGAGGAACAGAAGAGATCTGCATCAACCTTTCTAAAGCCCTGTTTCCAGTCCTTGCTGTGCTTCTGACGTTCATATGAGACCAGAGAGAAGTGAATTTTGTCCCAGGTCCTCTAGGCATGTCTTTTCCAGGCTCCCCCAGGGCACACCCTGGAGCAGATCACTGTGACTCTCTGTCCTATTGTGTAACTGAGGACTGAGATGCATAGACCCCATCTTGCAGACCAGGTGGACCCCAAACCAAAGATGCTGCCTGCAATCTAGGTACTGGGGCCTTGAGCAAGAGCATTCACTAAGAAAGTCGCAATGAGGTTTCTAGAGTGTAACTCCTGTTTTAATCTAGGCCAAGGGTCAAAACATTTTGGAAAGGGCCATACAGTGCATTTTTTAAGCTTTGTGGACCAAGGGACAAAATTAGGGATGTTGTGAAAGAGATATTGAGAAAATTCTCAATAGAAATATATAACAAGAACGGCAGAATTCTTTATTTGGTGGGTAGAACATTCACTTAATTGGGCTTCAGAGTTAGCATTCCCCATGATCAACATCCATGGCAAGTGTTCACCCCTTAATGCTGATTGATGGGCAATGAGATTTTCTCTTTTTTAAAAAATTTTTATAAGATTTTATTTATTTGAGAGAGAGAACACAAGCAAGGGGGAGGGAGGGGCAGAGGGAGGAGAAGCAGACTCTCCCACTGAGCAGGGAGCCCGATGCGGGGCTGATTCCGCATGACCTGAGCTGAAGCCTGAGCCACCCAGGAACCTCGAGATTTTCTCTTTGAAAATGTCTTTTCACATGCATTGGTACTGCCAAATTTTGATTTCAGTCCACAAGTTTCTAATTGTAATTTAACATGTCCATTGCTTGGAATACATTTATGGAATTCTATTCCATTCTTCTGTTGATATTTGTCCTTTAGTATGTCACTACAATGTAGATGAATGTCTTCTGGTTGGCAGGTGGCAGTTCCTCAATTACAGTTAAATAGGTTTTGAAATCTTCAAAAACCACTGGTGGAACCCTATCTGGGGCTTAGAAATCATATCCATTGCAAATTCATGTGAGAATCCACCTCTTTCGGTACAGACGTTTGCAGTAGACCTGCATCCCAGATGCCAGCTCACTGTCCCAACTCTGCTAAGGTGTGAACCGTGCTTCCACAATGCAGAGAGAAATGGCTGAGATCCCCTGTTCTTTTTTGAGGTGCTTCTTGACACTGGTTTCCAGCCAAACAACTAACCTCACTGATGACATCATGGCCAGGCGCATGTTTCCATCCAACTAGTGCTTTGCCCTAAACCCATATGAAGTCTGCTTCGGGGGAGCTGGCCTGAGCAAGATGAGAACCTTGAAGGCTGCCTTTGATGGCAAGAAAGTCCTTCGCAGGACCTGAGTGAGCATGTCACAAGAGAATGCCTTGAGGACACGTAGCCAGCGTCATGCTATCAGGCTGTTACTACTGCTGCTAAGAATCTGTTCTGTTTTCGCCCTGGAGTGGATGGTCAGAATAGAAACAAATAATCAGGTTTTATGTTTTCCCCGTTTTAAGATATAACTTACATAGGATGAAATTCACTCATTTTAAGTCTGTGGTTTGGTCAGTTTTGATGATTGCATACAGCACGTAATCATCAGCACAATAAGATGCAGAGCGGTTGCATCCCCTGAAATGTCCCTGGGCCTCTGTACAGCTAACTAGTCCCCTCCCCTGACTCAAGTTGCGCCTTTTCTAGAACTTCACAAGTCACTTCAATTTCTTTCATTCATAGAGGACTATTCGAGTTGTCGATTTCTTCTGGGGTCAGTTTTGGTCACCTGTGTCATTGAAGGATTTTGTTTGTGTTGTCCAGATGGTCACATTTATTGGCGTCAGGTTGTAGATGGTTGTTCCTTACTATCCCCTTAAGGTCCCTAGCCTATGTAGTGATAGTCCTCTCTCAGCGTATTACATACTGATTTTACAGAGGAAGTTCAGAGTACAATATTATGTCCTTTTTCCTTCATAAGGTCCACTTTCTTGTCCGTCTGTTTTCTCTCCCTAAACTTTCACTAGTGTGGTGGAATAGAAAAATGTGACCCTTGAGCTACCTGGGTGTATACCAAAGCTTAACCACTCGCTAGCTCTGTGACCGTGAGTTGATGGCATACCCACTCTGAGTCCATCTCATGCTCTGTCCTGCGTGTGTCATGGTGTTTCCTGTGTGGGCGTCTCCAGGTACCACCGTGCTGATGGATGGCGTGATGGTGTCCTCCACATCGTGTTGCTCAGACGAGAGCGACAGAGGATAATGCAAATGTTGAGAGCCTCTTGAAGCCTTTAGTTTTCTCTCCATGTGTCTGTCTCACGTTCAATATGATTAGAATCCTGAGTTTGTGCACTATGGTGAACATTATTGAAACATGGTTAATTCTTTAGAAATTCTGCTTTGAACAGAGTATATCAGTCCGAGCATTACTGAGAATGACTTCTACACAAGGAAGCAAGATTAAAAACCCAAGACTTGAAATAGAATTGCAGAAATGAGATTCCTTATCATTGGTCTGTTTTATTTAAATGTGTTTCTGTTTCATGTTTCCTAAGGTCCTTGATTTTCCCATTTCTGATCCGAGGAGGAAAGCCCATGCCCTTGTATACATTTGTATTGGCCTTTGTGTTCTGTATCTATAATGGCTACTTGCAAAGCAGATACTTGAGCCAGTATGCTGTGTATGCCGACGACTGGGTCACGGATCCCCGATTTCTAGTAGGTAAGTGTCCCCCCAGGGATGCACTCCGTTGTTCTCATCAGAACTTGGGTTTTCATGATCCCGCAGTTCCTGGTTAGAAAACCCATGCTCGAGAGAGAGAGAGAGAGAGAGAGAGGTCTGTGATGGTCCATGACCTGGTGGCGGGGAGGCTGAGTGCGGAGGGAGAGGCGGGTGGCCCCAGCAGCAGCAGATGATGCAGGTGCCCAGCACCATGGCCAGCTTGACACAGAAAGCATAAATACCTGTTCCTAATGCAGACCTAAAAATAGCAACAGGCTCCAGCAGAGTGAGCAGCAGATGAAGACTGAGGAGCTCCGTCACTAACTGGCCGTGTAATCTAAGATGGTCATTAAGCCTCCCACAGTTCCTTCCAGAATATGAGAAAAAGTCCGACTGGGTCACCTTCCAACAAGGCAGTCAGGGTTTCCTGATTATGCTAACTTGAATAAGCTTTTAGGTGTGTGAAGTTTCTGATTTTTTAAAATCTTTATCATTTTTGAGTTCTAATTAAAGCCTTATAAGTTCTGAGTAAAAATGAAAATAAAACATCAGCAGTCAAAAATACATGCCAGAGTGTTAAAAAATGCATCACCTTGAGGCTCTTGATGAGGACGTTTTCTTGTAAGTTTCGGAGAGTCCCGCGGCTCTTGGCTTTAGCGCCCTGACATGGCCTCCCGTTTGGCCTGGCATCTCTCTGTGTGCGGGTGTGTGACCATGAGAGCCTAATGCTGGAGGAGTACTCTGTTGTTGACGAGGCATGTTCACGTTTCTCAGTCATCTGTTTCCGTGTATTAAAATTCTGTTCCCAGGGCCGTGTTCTCACGTGTCATAGCAGGATGCCGTGGCAGCGGGGTACGTGTGCCCACAGCCACCAGGTGGGGGATGGGTGAGAGGGTCCCCAAGGGCCTCGGCAGCTCCCCAAGCCCACACCTCCAACAGACGCCAGACCCAAGTGATTTTGTTGGGGCAGTGCCTACAAATGCCTTCTTGACTTACCCGCTTTTTGACTACCTGATCTTCTTCCACCCCAGCCAGCAGGAGGAGAAAGCAGGCTGCGGGGGCCCTGCGGAGAGGGCCTCATTCTCTGCCAGGAGCCCCGCATGAGCTTTCTGCGCCCCCAAGTTCCCGAGAGGACAGAAATTAGGGACCTTTCACAGGAGCAAGGGAGACCGATGGCTAAACACCTGGCCCAAGGTCTGCACTGAGGAAATAGCAGAACCGCAGTGCGGTGCCCCGAGAGCAGGTGGCCAGGGGTAAGTGGAAGGGGGTTGTTAACTCAAGGATGTAGGCTTTGCATGTTCATTTGAGTTCCCGCCACAAATCACTTCTATGATGAGTTGTTTGGACACATTTGATGAACAACAACAAAGAGTCTTTTGTGAATTTAATGTGAAAGTGAATTTAAATGGGATTAGAAGTAGGTCTGCTGATAAACTACTTCACCTGCACATGTCTTTGAAGCTGGTCTAACGTTAAAGACACCACTAAATTGTATACTGACCTCTCAACTTCTCTATAAGTGAGCAGGAGGAATCAAAAATGAAAAAAAAAAATGCTAACAGGGAAACAAACTAGGTTACTTTTCTGTTATGCTTATTACATAGAGTTTATAGTTTTTGTATGGAAATAAACATGATATAACATGAATAATTAATTGCATTTATGCTACTTACCAGGAAGAGCTAAGCAAGTAATAATAATAATATCCTAACAAAAAGTTTTCCAGAGCAGTAAAAGTGGTTAATCTAAAAGATTTTAACTTTAAGATCCCCCAAACAGGATTAAGTGATTAGCTGAGATGAGCACAAATACTAGTTTTCTTACCAATCGGGACAATGAAGGGAGCTTGTCTCCTAGAAGAAAAATAAGGAAAAAATGGCATTTTGAGAACATGATTCTTTCTGGAACCTCACATTGGGGGCCAAATCACCTAGAGGCGACATACCACAATGCACAAAAAGGTCTCAAATCAACTATACATTTATGGATCTAATAAGTGACTTATAAAATATTACAAGCTTTGGCAGGAACTATTTAGAAAGAAAACTGCCTACAGTGGTGAAATCAGAAGGAAGGAGCCTTGAAACCCTTGCTGCGGGCCAGAATTCATCATTCCCTGTCCCTGTCGTAGCTGGAAGAGGAGTCCATGCCGCTGGGGGCCTGAGGAGACAGGGATGATAGTGTTACTCCACTTGGACATTTCCTTGATCCTGAATCGAGTGCCACCAATCAGCACTGTCGGACCCTCCCAGTTTTCTAATACCACAGGATGATCAAATTAACTCTTTTTATCAAATCAAGGTATTCCTTTTATAAAACACTGGATATTTTCCGTCTTCTTGTTGGAATTAATTTACGTGATACTAATAAGTCTCCCTTTAAGTGATGAAAAACCTCCAAAGACTTTTAGGAGCGGGAGAGGGAACATCTGGGATGCTACAGGATGTGTAGGGGGAGGCTTGTAGCCAGCGGCTGGGGATTCTGTCCGGAGCTGAGGCAAAGGAGCAGACCCAGGAGCGCGACTGGCCATGAGCAGGAAGGGACTCGGGGCGAAGCCGTGGATGGGCGGGAACCCGTGCGAACGAGGCTCTAACGAAAGAAGAGCGGAACACCAGGGCTGAGCTATGAGGTCCCACGGCTGCAGAGGCCCCTGCGCGGCTAGCCAGGCTTGTGTGTGCCCTGGGGAGGGCCCGGCCACCTGCACACAGTTTTCCTGAGGGGCCGACCCCAGATGCTGGTGCCGCCCACTTTCACAGACCTGAGTGCAGCACTTACCTTTCTAAGTGAACCGTATTTATTATAATGATTTTCACCATCAACTGTGGCTAATATGGCTTGCTTATAGTGATAATAGGACGGATTACAGTCAGACCATTCATTCAGGCTCGGGCTTGGGAGTTTCCTAGTTTACTGACCATAATACTCTTCTGTATTTTCTTTTCTGCAGGTTTCTGCTTGTGGTTAATAGGCATGCTGATAAACATCCATTCAGACCATATCCTGAGGAATCTCCGGAAACCAGGGGAGACTGGATATAAGATACCAAGGGGTACGTACTGAAAACGGGAGACTTGATCCCAGATTGCTCTGCAGGATGCCTTGCTGTTTCAGTTTTGTCGGATCCAATAACTAACGATGACTGATCGCAATCACTATGATTATTGTTTTCTTAGAATGATAGAAGAGCCCATTCTGGTTCACTGAGTGGCTATTAAGCAAAAAGGAAACCAGTTGTATCTCTTTGGAAAGAGAATATGAGGAAGAATTTATGGTTTACCAGGAGTGCCCAATACCTCATTTCTGGTAATAGCAGGAATAGACAACTGTTCCTTGTCTGAAAATAGTTAAAAATGTTGGGTAAATGTTTTTTGTTTTTGTTTTTTAATCTTTTAAAATGCATCCATGTGGTGTCAAGAGAGGAGGTCATGATCATCAGAGGGCAAAAGCCGGGTAAATACTTGAGTCTAGGACCCAACTCGTGGGAGTCCGTAACCAGTAGCTGTTCTCATGCAGCTTTGTAGCCCAAATGTGCGCCAACTGTGGACAGTCCGAAAACCTCAAGCCATGAGTTAGGATCTGTGTGCTCCGAGGGAGGGGGTGCCTTCACGCATCCGGCCTGCACAAACCCAGATCCCCAAAGAGACCTGTCTTCAACTCAGGCCTCAGAGAGCCCGGCAGACCACAAATGACGGGAAAAACCCTACAAATCTCAGGTCATTTAAACTATGGCCCTAAGGTGGTCCTTGGAGCGTGCCACTCTGCTCTCCGGCCTCCGAGCCTTTGCTGCCCAGAGTGTGCAGAGCGTCCCAGCCCCAACCACTGTGGCCCCAAACCTCACCTGCCAGCAAGGCCCCTTCCCAGCCACTGGCCACGACCAGACCTCCCTGCGCCCCCAGCCTGACTTCTGGGCCCCTCTCCTGCTCTGCAGCACTCCCCACCATGTGCTGGGCTCCGTGCTTTCCTCATGGGCTACACTGGAGATTAGTGTCCTGGAAGGGGGGGTGGTCTTGTCCACGGTGCACTCCCAGTGCCTAGAGCAGGGCCTGGCCTGGCCTGTGGACTTGAGGGATCTGTGAAAATGGACGACTGAATGGATGAATCTGCCCTTGAAAATTATTATTTTCTTCTGTTTTGGGTCCAGGCCTCTGTGTAGGTCTGTCTGATCAAACTAGTTCCGCAAGTGTTATTCTGTGGTCTCCATCCTTACTTAGGTTTTATCCATGTGATTCATTGACTAGTCAAGTGACATTTTAAAGTACGTGAAACCTGTTGCATTTTACATTCAGATGAACGGTGTAGGTATTGATCTAGGTACGTAGTTACTACCAGAAATCGTGATGTGAGGTGGTAGAACTAGTAACATTGGGTGTGTTTCATGGATTACCATTCTGGAGCAGTCGTGCCCCCCCGGGTTGAATTCATGTTAAGTGTCCACGGCTGTCTGGTCGGTCAGGGTCTTGCTGGGCACCGTTTTGTAGGAAGCGCCCCCCCTTGCCTGTGTTTCCTTACAGGAGGCTTCTTCGAATACGTGACGGCAGCCAACTACTTCGGGGAGGTGGTTGAGTGGTGTGGCTACAGCCTGGCCAGCTGGTCCCTCCAAGGCGGGGCCTTCGCGCTCTTCACCTTCTGCATTTTATGCACCCGGGCCCAGCAGCATCACCAGTAAGTTCGCAAACACTTTCAGCATGTTGAATTTGTGCTCTGGCCATATTATAACAATTGGCAGGATCGATGCTCGAAATGTTCGCATTTGTTTGAACTGCCGAATCCCAGGGTGTACCTGGCGTTGGCTAGCCAAGTGCAAAACCACGCAGACGTCCAGAGAACCTGCTCTAGGGAATCAGGTACACGTCAGTATCATCACTGGCTGCGCCCGACTCTGAGCCCCTTTGAATGTTTGCTGCTGGAGCTGGTGGTCAAGTGAAAGGTCAGGCAGGTCTCTTCAGCTAATATCTGTAGACATTACTCCAAAAGCCTGAGATTACTGAGATCAGAGGAGAAGCACTCTCCAGCCCTCCATGTTTTGAGGTGCCCCACTACACTCCAGACAGAGGGGGATCTGAGAGCCAGGACCTGTCTCTATGCCAGAGCTGTGGGGGAGGACAGAGGTAGGAAAAGCTCACACCAGGGAAGGCTCGGGAAAGCAGTTACAGCGTCAAAGGTGACAGAAAATGAAACGATTTGCTATGATGGGCTGAATTGTGTCCTTCCCCCACGCCCCCCAAAATACGTTGCAGTCCTAACTAACCCCGCGAATGTGACCTTATTTGGCAATAGGGGTCATCACAGATGTAGTCAGTTAGGGTGAGGTCATGCTGGAGTAAGCTGGACCCTGGTGCCTTTATTAGGAGGGAAATTGCAGACGTGCACACAGGGACGAGAAGGCCACGCAAAGACACGCACGAAGACAGCCATGTGAAGCGTGGATGCAGAGTACACGGAGACGCTGTCACACACTCCTGAGGCTGCCAAAAGCTGAGAGAGGCAGAGAAGGATCCTCCCTGAGAGCCTGGGAGGCAGCACGGTCAGACCTCTGGCTCCAGAACTGGTAGAGAATAAATTCCTGCTGTTTGAAGCCCCCTAGCGTGTGGTCCTTTGTTGCAGAAGCCCCAGGAAACCAAGACACCCGCTTTTGAGCCATCCAAACTCCACTGGGCCGTAAGGAAAGAGAAAGGCAAGGTGTGTGAGTTCTGGAGCCCTCCGTTTCCTCCTACCAGATGACACCACACCGGCCTGTCCCCAGAGCTCATGCTGTTGCAGAATGCATCTTCCCGGGTGTGAACAAAGCATTTCGGAGAAAAATAACAGTGACAGCAATACCAGTGAATCTTGGTCCAGCCTGACCGTCCTGTGTTCCTGGGGACCCCTCCTTCCTTCCTTCCCTCCTTCTCTCTGTCCTCCCCTCCTTTTCCCATTCCTCCCCTCCTCTTTTCCTCCCCCCCCCGACCCAGTCTTCTTCCTCCCCTCCATCCTCCCCTCTCTCCTCCTCCCCAGGCGCCCCCCCCGCCCCCCAAGACCACCTTCTCATCCCTGGCATCACCTCTGGAGGAACATGCTATTCTGGTTCATTAGTTACACTAGAGAATAGAAAGCGAATATTGGCTGGTTTCTAATTATAGAAAAAATGAGATGATACTGATATTTTAAGAAATTGGATCAGAGGAAGATTGAACAAGAGCATGCCAAGTCAGTGGTAATGACGTTTTCTCAAATGAAAATGGGAAAATCTCCCTCAACATTTGAGTGGGAAATATTCAAATTCTATAATTTGAATAGGAAATAGAAATAAATAATTTCATTTCCCAAATGAAAGAAACCCACGTATTCTTTGCAGAAAGTTCACGAGTTGAAAGGATTCGTTTTCATTCATTTGCTATTTATACTGATGTCCGTGCAAAACCAATTTTAACTGCTGAAAATTAATGAATTCAGTTTAGTGGAAGTATGCTCAGAAATGTTGGATTTACAAGCGGAGGACAAAATAAAAGCTCTCCTTTTTTTTTTTTTAAATAATCCAGCGAACCCAGCCAATTACTCTAAAAGAAAACAATCCATGGGGCTATTCCTAGCTCTGTATTTTACTTATTATGATGTTCTCAAAGCAATATTTTATTACACTGAGTTTATTTCTATAATTGGTTGTGAAATATTTAAATTCATAGAGAATTATACTGGTAATTGAGCTCTAGGTCGGAAACATTGGGTCAGCTGTGCCCAGTTGCTAACAGATACTGTGGTTTGAGGGCAAAATGGGAATTGGGAAAGAGGAATGGGAAGGAGGAATGTTTTCGGACTGTTCTCCTCCCTGCCAGCCTTGAGCAGCGCACTCACATAAGGGAGCCGCCCTGGCTTGGACACGCTCCTGCAGCACCAGGCCAAGCGGTAGTTGGAGCGCAGGTGCATGCTTGTCCACACCAAAATCCCGCAGGTGGAGGCCAGCCATCGAGGGCAGCTTGGAGAAGGGGCTCTGTTGAAATAAAAGATTATGTGTAATGTCACTTAGAAAAATGAAGTCCATGTGTTTTCAAGACACAATGACGGATGGCGTCATGACCTAAACAGGTAAGGACCCACCAGAAGTTTGTGAAGGACTTCCTTGTTCTCACCGCAGAGCGCAGGGTCTGTGAGTGCTCGGAAGGAGCAGGACTTCCAGGAGACGAACATGGGGGCACTGAAGCTGCTTGTGAGCCAGAAAGTGCACTGATGCTTTAAAGAAGAATTCGAAGACCTCTCTCCGATTTAGCATAAGCCAAATGTGATGACATGGACATCCCTCGGTGAGGGGTTATCTTCGTTTCAACCTTAGTTCGGGCTCCACAATAATAAAATCAAGACAAAAAATCTGTATCCAGCTATGGTCAGTATCACATAAATCACAGCTTTGATTCCAGGGATAGAACAACATGTGAGAAAAATATGCTGCTTGCCCTTTGAAAAATATGTGTGTGTGTGTGTAAAATACACACACATATTTATAAATTTTAAGATATGATTTCTTGAGGTGGATCCATAAACCTCATGATGTACACGAATGAGAAATTTTAATCATTTTAACCAAGTAAATTTTGTTCCTATAGAATGGCTTCTGTGAAATGACTTTAACGTATTTGACAAACCTGTCTGTATTGGGTGAGAACGTTCCGATCTAACACAGGCTCTCTCTGACATGAGGAACCAGCTCTGCTGCCCAGTGCTGCGTCTGAGGATCCCAGAGGCGTGCGTGGGCATCACCGTCCCGGTTTTGCTGGTTTGAAGCTGTCACTGCGTTCCGTGCACAGCGCCTGGTGCTCCGAGAAACCTGCTCGCGTCCAGGTCCTCGGTCCCTGCCCGCTGAGTGCGTTCCGGTGGCTGTAACAGAAACACCATAGACTGGGGGCTTAGGAGCAGTGGACTTTTATTCGTCACAGATCGAGGGGCCAGGAGTCTGAGGTCAGGGGCCAGTGTGGTGGAGCTCCGGTGAAGGCCCCTGGTGGGCGCAGACAGTCCGGTCCCCTCCTGCACTGCCCTCAGCGACGAAAGGCCTGGATCTCACTCTCGGGGACTCTCTTATCAGGACAGGATCCCATTCCTGAAGGCTCCACCCCCCCATGACCTAAGCACCTCCCAGAGGCCCCGCCTCCTCACACCGCCACCTCAGGCGTTAGGTTTTTAGCATAGACATCTGGGGGGGTTACCCAGGTGGAAAGTAGCACCAGCCTTCAAGAACTTCCTGCGAGCAGAGAGGAGCTGTGTATGGCATGCTTGCTGGTCTCCTCCACACTGATGGCGCGGCAGCCACCTCGGAGATGAGCACCCCGGTCTCCGGGCGCATCGCAGTGTGGAAGAGAGAGGCATCGCGTCAGAAGAGACTCTGGATCCAGAGGCCCGCGGACCAGCTTCCAAGCATGTGGCTTCCCCGGGGGCGCAGGACATCGCGTGCCTTCCCGGGGGCGCAGGACAGCGCTTGGCTTCCCGGAGGCGCGGGACAGCGCGTGCCTTCCCTGGGGGCGCGGGACAGCGCGTGGCTTCCCGGGGGCGCGGGACAGCGCGTGGCTTCCCGGAGGCGCGGGACAGCGCGTGCCTTCCCGGGGGCGCGGGACAGCGTGTGGCTTCCCAGGGGGCGCAGGACAGCACGTTCAAGCACCCGTGGCCGTCTGATGGGCTGCAGTTCCCATCCGTCCGCCGACCACGGTGTGAAACGTGGCGGAAACCAGCAGATTTCGCCGACTCCCTGTCAGGTTGCGGCTGTCACGCATTTCTGCCATATGAGCTCATAGTTGCTTCTCATCATGATGTTTCGTCTGTTTATCTGTTGTGCTGACAGAACCTCCTTGTTTTCTGGCTATTTCTCCATCTTGCAGGTTATTTTAAGTGTTCACCCCGTCCCCTTAGATGCCGCTCTCCCCAACTAGCCACCACCCCAAAATGAGCGGGGCTGCCTTGATGTCACGTATAGCAACCCCGAAAATGCGTGTTTGTTCTGTGTGCCGGCCCCCCTGCACCTTCCCAGATTTGTCTGAGAGCCCCCTGGCCCGCAGCTGGGTGCCTGTTCCACAGACCCCGGGGCTGGACCTTAGCTCTCTCCTGGGGACTGAGGACAACCGTTGGGAGTCACCAGAGACAACGTTGGAGACACTCCTCCTGAGTGACTTACATGGGCTACTTCTTACGAATCATGCTTTAGAATCAAATATATTTAATCATTCCACATAGAGACAAAATCAAACTACATCTCTGAAACGCCACAGTTTTTAGTATTACTCCTAAAAATCTCCATATTCCTGCACAAGAAAAGTGTCCCTTTTGCCAGCATCCATTAAATGTATAAGCGACAAAATTATATCCTTTTCTTACTGTTCCTTTTTTGTCTTATTTTAGGTGGTACCTTGAAAAATTTGAAGATTATCCAAAATTCAGAAAAATTATAATCCCATTTTTGTTTTAAGTCCACTGTCAATGGAATAATCTTGGACTTGAAGCATTTCATGATTATATAAATGAATTTTGTCTCTGCCACTTTCCTGCTACTTCATCTTTTTCAAGATTTGCTGTAGGAATTTTTTCCTATGAATTTGTAAGCTACCTAATAACAAACTAATCAGACTGAAATGCAGGTTGACGGATTGGGCTGCATACCGGGTCACGAATCTGGAACTCTGGGTCATTCCAGCTGACCATATCTTTGCTTTTGGCATCTCCTGTTTTGACTGTGTACAGCTAAGTGTGCACAAGACCAGAATGACAAGCCATCTCTGGTGGCCTCAGTGGGCTGAACCATCCCTGCCCTCATACAACGCATTCCAGCCATCAGTCCAAGGCCAAGGCCATGTTGCTCCCTCCCCTGATAAAGGCAGGACCGCCTCTCTGGTTCCTCTGGTCCTGCTGGGTCAGAGGCCAGGGGCACCCATGGTGTGGTCACAGCCCCAGGGAAATGCCTGGGCTCTTACTGTGGGTGCTGTGGGGCAGAGAACTTGAGGCACAGAAAGGAGACACAGGAGTCAGCTGAGGCCCGGACAAAAGGCATCTGGCACTTTCTACAGCCTGGCTCCCCAGGTGACTCCAACTGCAGGGCAGGGTGCTGGGTGTGCTCCTAAAGGGTAAACTGCTCTGTCTCCCACTGAAAGGACTTAGAGCCCCCAAGGCAGCAGGGAGCCTCCTTATGCTGATTGCCAGAGGCATTGGTAGTCTCTGGTTCAAGATGATTTTTTCTTCCTTCTGGGTAGAACTAGGGTGTTGGAAGGTACTTTTTTTTAAGTACCTTCAGTATTGCAAAACAATATCTTGAAACAGAATTTCTTACTCTGGATGCTCTTGAGAGGTCCACGGAGATAAATGGCAGTAGTAAAATTTACTGCCTATTGCCAGATATTTAAAAGCAATCTCCAACTAGAAGGCTGTTCAATCTCTGGGCCACTCTGTGAAGCTCTGATGGATACATGGTGGAGGTCCCCTCCTGGCTTGGGACGGCACTCCCTGCATGGCCACCACCTCCACAGAGTGAGAAACCACAGGAGCGGGGGAAGGAAGGAGCAGACTCTGTTCACTCTGGCCCGCTGACACTGCTCTGTAGGTGGTGCAGGGCGTCCAGAGCACCCAGCCGGCCCCCTGCACCCTCTCCTGGCTGGCCTTCCCAACCAGGGTCGGTGTCCCTCACAAGGTTTTTCGTAGAAACCGTGTTCTCAGGGTTAGTGATTTTTAGAGTCTCCTGTGGTTTCAGAACTCACCAAAAACTTGTCCGGTGCAGCTATGCTTCATTTTAACTGGAAACAGCACGTTTTTTAACAGAAATCTTGTTATTGAATGAACATTGTTCCTTTTCCTGGCCATTTTCCAATTATGTGAAAACATGAAGCAATAAGTATTCTGGATCGCCTCAGGAACACTCAAAATGCCAAGTATGTCAGGAGAGATTGAGGCCGCCGTGTTCTGCAGGGTGCACCAGAGGGGAGCAGGATGCTGGTCTGAGAGCTGGGAAGCTTCTGTGAATGTTCCTTCTTCATGTGAGCGGCCCGGGCCACCGGACCTTTGCGTTCACCCAGGCTTTGATGCGCCCTTACTGGATTCGCTGGCCCGCACCGGGTGCACGATTAATAGGAAAAATTCCTGTTCTATCTTGGCTCCCTGCCCTCCCATTTCCTAAAAACTGTAACTTAGTAAACAGTCATCAGTTGCTGTGTTAATTACAATAAGGAGATTAATAAAATTACATAAAGTCCAGGCGTTTTGTCTTCAGTGTGACTCCATTCTATCCACGCGTCTTCACTCTCCAAGTTCAGACAGCATCTGGACCCCTGAAACCTGCTTCCCACCAATGTTAACAATTTCACAGTGTCACACACTCTCGGGTCTCGGCCGAGCCGTGCAACAGACACTCTCCGTGTGAATCTCATTCCTGGGTATTTGATGCTTTGTTCACTGTGGCTGAGAATGCATTCCCAATACATTCTATCACTGGGATAAATCAAAGCTATTGATGATTGCCATACTGCTGGGAGGATTTTATGAATTCCTACGATTTTCTCTGTTTATTCTCCAGTCCCCTCGCTTCGTAGTCATGTCACTTGCAAACATGTCACATTCTTGTGTGGCGGTATTTGAAGCTGTCACTTTTGTTGTTGTTTGCTTCTTAGAGTAGCAAGAAATGTGAAGACAATCCTGAATAAAAGAGGTGATTGTCAGGACTCTTGTGTGATTTTAACGGGAATGCCTTTCTTTGAGATTACTGTTTGGAGCATTATTTTATTTTCTTGCACACTTATTGGTCTGTTTTCTGCTTTAGCCAATGGGATCATTTCTTTGCTTTTAAAAAAAAAAATCTGTGGTATTTCTCTTGAGATTTTCACAGATATTCTGTACAGATCAGAAGTGAGGAGGAGGATTAGCCACCAGGTGTGAGGGGGCAGGACCTGAGAACACGCCCACGTGGACGCTCTGATCTGGTAGGTTGCTTTCTTCATCAGATATTCTCAGTTTATCTTGTTTTACTCTAAACTAACTTTTATGGTGATTTCCCCTGTATCTCCTAACTTCATATCTGCTTTTATCTTATTTTCACTGTTCTAATTGAGGGAAGATCTTTTCCTTGTGTTCAGGACTGCTTAGGAGGAGTGCCTCATTCAGCTGCTTTCTCAGCAGGTGTATTTTCAGCTTTTAAGCCTGTGTGTTTCTGCAAAGTGACACTGTTGACATTTTCCTAGAATTATGATCCTAAATGGTCTCCAGCTGTACTTCTTAGGTTTGCTTTGATCTCAATATTTCTAGAAAATTAATTTTTATTGGACATGATGCTTTTTTCTTTTCAACGATTTGGGAGATTTCATGGAAAGGCTTTTGTTCTTTTTCACACGTGTGGATTGTTTGCTGTGAAACAGTCTCTCCTTTGCGGATTTTGACTTTTTCTTTTGCAGCCTCGAGCCTTTTATAACAATAACAAGGCCATTCTCTATAGTTGATGCTATTTGCTCTGCAGCTTGTTAATTCAGGGATATTGATCATATTGTTAAAATTCTTTGTAACCGTATTTTTCTTCCGTGTCAAATTTTCCTTGTACTTCTAAGAGGTTTTGCTTTGTGTTTCTTTTTAATATAAATTCAATTAGCCAACATACAGTACATCATTAGTTTCAGATGCATTGTTCAGTAATTCATCAGTTGCATCTAACACCCAGTGCTTTGTGTTTTGATGCTGGCATTCTGCTAAACTTTCTGTCTATCCCTGCTAACAGTTTAAGGTGATCTTCCTGCTGGAGCTGCTCCCCTGGGATCTGGCTTTCATGAAAGAATTATCATTCTGCTGCTTTTATTGGCAAATTCATCCAGCATTTCCTGGCCTTTCCAAGCCTTCAAATGTCATTTGTTTGGTTATCTTTAACAACATGATAAACAGACTTTGCCATTGAATATGTTGGCTCAAATTCTCCCACTAACTGCTATACTAAGATGCTTTTTATCATGTTTTCTGTTTTTATTGTTTGCAACTTCCTTTTTTTTACATTTTCTATAGTGATTTAGAAAGGTATTTAATTAAAAAAAAATGGCAACATTAGGAATGGTTTTTATGTTTTTTAGAAGTACACTTAAAAGTTCCCAATTCAATATGATGTACTGAACACATGCTTTTACTCCCCCTCCTGATCCTGACCTGCTATAATCACTGCAAGGGAACTGAAGGGCACAGGGCTGGACTGATAAGGCAGGGCAGGGGGCTATGGCAATGGAGAGCCCACAGTGTGCCCTGGGGAAATAGCAGGTCATAATGCCACGGCTGACAGAAGGGAGAGGTGAAACTCGCACCTCAAAATGAAAGCCAACCGAACTTTATACTCAGAGCAGACAATAGTAACCCCTCCCTTCCTGCACCTCACAAACAGCAATAAAACCCAGAAGCTGTATATACACCCATTTCTGGGAAAAACACAGTGGGAGTGGGGTCAGGGAAGGAGCAAGGGAGGGGGGTCCTTTCATAAATAAAAATTAGCTATTTGGGGAGAAGCAGAGTAACTAGCTGTTGACATCCCAGAGAAAAACATTGCCCACATTTTGGTTCTTAGGGATCCACCAGTGTAGTAGCTGGTCAGGTTCTGCCTTGTGTCCCACGAGAGCCCAGGCAGGTGTGGTCTCCTCAGGTACAGGCTCCCACTCAGCTTTTCTGGAGCCTTTGCAGCAATATTCACTGATGACCAAGGATCACCAGATACTTAATGAAGTCTACATCATGAAAGAAAAGCAAACGCCTCTGGAGAAACATCACTCCAGAAGCAAAAGGGAAATGTTTTAGAAAAAAAAATATAACATCGGGGAGATTAGGCATCAGCAGGTGCGTGGACAGAGGGTCATGGGGCCCACAATATGACCCAGCAATGTCCAGGAATGGACCACTGGTGTGATTGATAAATTGCTTACCCGGTAAGAATTCTGCATCCAAATACATAAAGAACTCTCAAATTCCAACAGTAAAAATTTTAAAACAATCTTTTTAATGGGCAAAAGATGTGAACAGACCCTTCACCACAGAATACATACAAATGGCAAGTAAACACATGCAAAGATGTTTACCATCTTTGGTCATGAGGGAAACGCCAATCAAACCACAATGAGACACCACTACCTATCTCTCAGAATAACTAGAATTGAAGAAAATGACCAACAGAGGCTTGGCAAGGAGGCAGAGGTTCTGAAACTCACACACATTGCTAGTGGGAACATGCAATGGTGAAAGCATTCTGGCAGTTTCTTTTTTTTTTTTTTTTAAAGATTTTATTTATTTATTTGAGAGAGAGAGAGCACATGAGAGGGGGGAGGGTCAGAGGGAGAAGCAGACTCCCTGCTGAGCAGGGAGCCCGATGCGGGACTCGATCCAGGGACTCCAGGATCATGACCTGAGCCGAAGGCAGTCACTTAACCAACCGAGCCACCCAGGCGCCCAAGCGTTCTGGCAGTTTCTTGAAAAGTTAAACATGCACTTGCTGTATGATGCAAATATTTCTCTCGTAGGTAATTACCCAAGAGAAGTGAAAGCATATATCTAATCAAAGACTTTTACATGAATGTATGAAGCAGCTTTATTTGCAACAGCCAAAAACTGGAAACAATCCAGTTGTCCATCAGCAGGTGAATGACTAACCATCTGGTGGTTATGTCCATACAGTGGAATACTACTGCACCATAAGAGAGGAATACACTCAACAGCAACAACAAAATGATGGTATCTCAATCACCATGCTGACTGAAAGAAGCGAGACAAAAAAGAGCACAGACTGTATTGTGTAAGGTAAGTATTTGCCTGTGGATGGGAGCGGGGTGGGCAGGGAGGCTTACAGAAAGGCAAGAGGAAACATTTGGGGTTGATGCTCATTACCTCGTTTGTGTGATGGATTCCCATCTGTATGCATCAAATTATACTGTAAATATATGCAGTTCATTGAATGTCTGTTACGCCTCAATGTTTTGAAGACATAAGTTTATTATACCCATACAACAACAGGGCGCAATGAAAACAAAATGATCTGAGAACAGTGAGTCTAGGAAATTAGAAGACAAAAATGTGGTAGAAAAGGTAGAGGGTAAAATGAAGTTGATCCTAGAAAATATAACAAAAGGCCAAGAGCCAAGAGACACAAGATCAATTAAGAGGTCCAACGTCTGACCTGTGGGTGTTACAGAAAACCATTCTCCATATGTGTGTGATGGGGATGATTTTGGACACTTTCTCCACAAAAGCTGATCAGGGGTTTGCTTCACGGTGACCCGTGAGACAAAGTGGGCTCACTAGAACCGCCAGACCTGGTTACCTTTCCGGTGAAGGAAGGCAGCAAGGGGCAGAGTGATTCACGGGAGAATGATACAGTGTTTGCAATTTGAGAGGAAGCACAAAACAATATTTACTATCTGTGGAGAGAGCACATGTGTAGTAAAAGAATGAAAATGTGGACTGGAGACACATTAAGCCCAAGACTGTGGCTATCTTTGAAGACAAGGGGGACGGAGGAGGGAGTCTAGGTGATGTCAGTGTTCTGTGATGGGCATTTCTTCCTGCTGGTTTGAGAAATCTTAAGCAAATATATCAAATCTGTTTTTTCAGATATGACTACACTAGACGGTTATGTTATACTTTGCAGTTCTATGTATTGTTTATTTCTTAACTTAAAAAAAGAAAGAATGTAGAGAGGGACTATGGAGCCTAGACGGAGGAGAGTGAAGCCAGGATATGTAACTCAGAAGGGAGACATGAGGCAACAAGGCAGGCGGGACCCTGGAGAGCCCCCCACACGCACCTGTGGCCTGCCCCTGTATTCCTAGGACAGAGAGTCTTCAACATGTCTCTGTTGTCTTAGTTGTTGTGATTCGGGGCCCAAGGCAGCACAAGGAGTTCTTGAACCCCTCTGCAGCCTGGCGGGGGGTGGGTTGGGGCGAGTTTCATGGGCTAAATATACAGCCCCTGAGACCTGGGGCCCAACGGAGAACTGCAGGTGCAGGTCACTCTGTCAGTGCGTCTCCAGAACAGCCTGTGGCCCACTGTGCTCAGTCTCTCCAGGAGACACGGTGGATCAAAGGCAAAATACAGTTTGGTCCTCAGGAGATCTGTGGGCCGGTGTGGAGACAGATGTACCATGAAAATACAACCTGATGTTTGCATTATGGAAAATTAAAAGGACAGAGCGCCCCCACGTCTGCTCAGGGAGGAGAGAGTATTTCTGTATGATTCGGGGAGAAACACTC